GAACACAAGGAGAATACCAGTCAACAGGAAGTTCCATTAATCCTTGAAAATTCTTCTCTTCTAGTTGTACATTTGGTTCAGAACTGGAAGAGGAAGATCCACGCCCTCGGCCTCGTCCTCGACCTCGGGTTCTTAGATAACCTCCACCTTCTCGTTGCACCGGAGCGGTGGGAGGTTGCTGAATTGCTGCTGGACGATTTGTTATTTTCTCTTTTTCATTTTCTTTCTTTTCTTCTTCTCTGGTATTTGCAACAACATCTCTGGAAAATCTTGTCTGTCTTTTTGGAGCGTAATATGCCGCGTCTTCCTATATCCCGACCTCGTGGATTGAAAATGGTTGAAGATCTCCTTTTATACAGTGTTCTTCTCCTCCATAACAGTCTTTGATATATTGATGCAGTGAAGAAGGAACCATTCTGTGCTCATGTATCCACGGTCGGCCCAACAGAGCATTGAAAGAAGTCTCCGAATCTAGAATATGGAATTTTGCGGTCGTCACCAATTCACCAACTGTCATTAGCAAAGTGATCGAGCCGAGAGCTCTTTCTCCTTTCTGGTTCAAACCTCGTAACATCGTCTTGTCTGCAGTCAGTTTCCGTGTATCTATGTTGAGGTATGCCAAAGTTATCAAATTCATTCTGTTGATTGATGCACCTGGATCAACGAGAACTCTTGACAACATGAACCGATCCACATTGACGGAAATGTAAAGGGGACGATTGTGGTCAGCTGTGCCAAGCAGGAGGTCTTGCTCTGAAAACGTCACCTTGTGATTCTCTTTCAAAGAGCAAACTTCATCTGGAGAAGTACCAGCTAACTGAGCTAGACAAATCTCGGGATCTTGTAAGGCTTTGATTCAAGATTCTCTCATCTCCTTAGAAAGAATCAGAGCGTCAAAAATGCTGAACTTGGCTGGGAATTTCCTCAAGTGGGCCAGAACGTTGTAATCCACCTTCTGCTGTACCTCCACAGGCTCTTCCCGAGGAGGGGTATCCTGTACAGGAGGAACTGGATTGTTTGAAGCATCAACTTGTCTTGTATTCTCTTTCGGTGCCATTCTGGGAGGTAGTACTTTTCCGCTTCGAAGGTTGACTTCCGTTATGTCTTCAGACAAAGAAGTTGTAACGGCTTCTGGTTTTTCTTCAGCAACACTGGAAGGCTCCTTAGCAAGTTCTTCCGAATCAGATAGTTATAGTTCAATTTTTATATGAGTCCCCTGAAAGTGTAAAACAGGGGCATCACTATAAGAACTCTAGTTGTCCTCCCCAACTAACCCATCGGGATTAGACGTGATTTGAGAATTGTCATTGGAATTGAGATTTTGATCAGAGTTAGGTTGGTTGTTATCGATATTTTCGGCAACGCTGTCATCAGAAAGAGACAAGACGTCACCACAATTGTCACTCTTGGTATTCTATGTCCCAGGAGGAACAAAATCAAAGTCATACATAGAAAGAGTGAGAAAGCGAAATCCAAGACATTCAAGCTCCAGCCAGGTTGAATCGTTAGCAGCAGCCAATCACAAATGAAGAAGAAGACCAGGTTGAGTCTACTCAGCAGTTGTTACAGCAGATGAGACAGAAGGATGAGCAGATCAGTCGTCTCGAAAAGAAGATGGAAGAGATGATGATCGCTCTAACTACTCTGCATAGCTTGCCGCAGTCGCCTCAGGTACAACCCGTTGAAGTGAATCAGCCTGAGGTTGTACAAAGAATTGAGAACAAGAAGTCAAACACTGACGTCAGTGAAGATAGTCAACATGCCAAGAAAGAGACAGTAGCGACCACAGTGCAGGAGAAAGACCTGAAGCAGATGGTAGAGCAGCAGGTCAAGGAAGCGTTGGCCCAGTCAAAGGGCGGTGCATCAAATCTGAAGGGTAGACCTTACCCCGAAGAATTTGATAAGGTTTTCGATTGAACTGGCAACCCTCGTCAGCACGTTGCACATTTCCGAGCCAGTTGTTGCAACGCGGGGGGAAGTGACGCTCTTCTTTTCAGACAGTTTGTCAGCAGTTTGGCCGGAGTGGCCTTTGACTGGTATGCTGAGTTACCAAACGGGTCTGTCAAGACTTTGACAGAATTGGAGAACTTGTTTGTTAAGAGGTTTGCTGGCGCCCAACACCATATAACTGTCGGTGATTTGGTTGTTGAGAAACAGAAACCTGACGAGACACTGGTAGATTCTATTCTACGGTGGAGGAATCTGAGCATGAAGTGCGAACCGCAGCTTCAGGAGCAACATGCCATAGAGATTCTCCTTAAGAGTATCCATGGACCGGTAGCTTTTATGCTGAAGGGATTGACTAGAAAGACCTTTGAAAAGCTACTGAGCAAAGCAGCCAGTTTGCAAGAAGAGGCTAAACAACTCACTTTTCTCGAGAAGTCGGACAAGCCGAGGCCACAGAAAGTCTTTGAGAAGAAAACAGGGACAGTATCAGCTGTGGAAAAAGGGAAACAGCCGATGCAGATTCAGTCTGAACAGTCCTCTCAGCAGCAACAGAATGATAAACAATATCAGTCGAGACAGTATCAACCGCAATCTTCGTATCAGCCACAGTCTTCGTATCAGCAGCAGCAACAGTCGCAACAGCGATACCCGAGGTCAGATGGTCGGGGTTTTCTCTCTTTTGAAGATCGGATGAATCATGTCTACCCGTTTCAGAATGAGGCAGTTGCCAAAATGTTCAGGAATTTGGTGAAGAAACCGGAGTTCAAATTGCCGGAGCCGAAGAAGCCTGAAGAGGTAGAGATGAAAGAGCATCCACAGTCTTGTCCGTATCACAGGCTGATAGGGCATACGATTGAAAACTGCTTCAGTTGGCTCGAGCGCAACTTCAAGAATGGAAATGTTGCTATACCAAAAGAATACCTAAGAGAACCTGAAAAAAAAAAGGATCTATTAACATGATTTCAGTAGATACAACAACACCATTCGAACCTTTCAAGACCGAAGATGGCTGGGACCTGGTGTGGTCCAAATCCTCCAAGAAGATTCTTCACAAACTGAAAGACCTTCCGCCCCGGGCATACATTGAAGATCGCGAGCCTGTTCAACAAGTTCTGTCGATTGTTCCTGAAGAGAGCCTACCAGCAAAGTTGAAGGTGATCGACAAAGACTCAAGCGGGGAGAAGGGTAGACTAGGGGCTGCTAGTGTGTCTGTTACCCCTAGGTTGGTTGTTACGGACAAGGGTGAGGAAGAAGTGGGCGGCTATTGGAGCTCTTCTATCAAGATAGTCTTTCGGTTAAGCTCGGTCGGGTAAACGCCAGTGAAAGCAATGAATGCTTTGGGGGCGGCACAAGGCACCAAAAGAGAGAGACGAAACAGATGCCGTTGGAAAGGCATAAGCCCTAGCATCCACTCTTTTGCCGACTCGTTCGAAGAAGCGGGTGAAGGACAAGGTTTTTCTCTCTACGGAGAGGGGAATGAAACCAACCTTGACTACTCTTTTGGGTTGCATCCGTCAATCAATTGAAGCATTTTTTGTGTGGGAGCTCGAGGATAAAAAAAAAAGTAGGCTGATGGTGATGGACTCGGGGTCAGCACGGAATTGCGTGTATAGAATCTCAATTGCGTAGTGAAGCCGGCAAGCGAACAAAAAATTTCTGGAGGGAAACCGAGACTGATTCTGAAGCCGAGGATGTAGTGACTTTTCCATAAGGAAGAATTCCATTCTCAATAGCACAGGCCAGCGGGAATAGAGAAAGAAGCCGGTGGGTTTGAGTGAGCGGTAGGTGTATAAAAAGCTTCTTCTCAAAAAAAAAGGTTGACTCGAGCTCGGTCAAGTGAAAGTATGCTCAGTGATTCCTCCCTACCAATGCAACTGGACACCGCATTTTGATTCGTTTTCCACCGGGCAGGCCGGAGGTTATGAAAGAAAAGCTAACTCGTCCTTTTCATCTAGCGCCTTTCAGTCTCATTACTCGAGGGCTAGGAGAAATGGGTTGACCAAATCTTCGATAGAGTCTGAGTCGGTCGAGCACTCAAGCGCTTCGCTTCATCTCTCGAGATTCTCGTAGATGGTGTAAGTGAGAGCAACTTTAGTGTCCCCCGTTCACCTTCTTTTGTTACGTTTCTAGCGCCTCTAACCTGCTCAACTCTTTCTACTAAGCCTACAGACTGAACGAAGGACGACGTACCAGCAAGCCATGACTGCCGTAGCGTGCAATCTAGAGTCAAGGGGGATGCTCCGGAGGCTGAGAAAGATTTTTCCACTACTCAAAAAATGAGGCGTCCCTACTGACTTTCTCTCTCCTTGCGGGGAAATCGACTTCTTGTATATTTGAACTGAGTATCACAGAGATTAGTAAGACCAACCCAGCATGCTCCCTTCTCAGGCTTCTGCTTCTCTCTAATAACAAGAACGAGAAAATGACTCTTTCAGAAAGCAAAGCTACAACTCTTCAGTCTAAGCTATCTAAGCTAGAACTTAAGGTCGACCTCTTTTCCAGAGATACCCCACTTCCCGGTCTAGCTTCACTTACTGTATTCACAGCTTTCCAGATCTCGGAACCAGATCGACTTTCTCATCGGCATTCTCTCAATGAATTACGTTAGGGTCCTGAACTCTCAATATATCTTCTGTCATGACAGATCGAGGGAAGCTTGTCTTTTCGGAAGAGGTGGGAGTGGGGCAGGGGTAATCCTGGATGTTAGTCCAATTACTTGACTAGTCAGGCGATGCCTGCTACTAGTCGAGAAGGTTCTGAAAAAAGAAAAAACATGGTCATAGTCGCAGCATAGAAAATGTGCCTTATGAAAGAGTCTATGAAAGGGGATGGAAGTCAATTCTAGAGTGACGTTCTAGCTATGTCGACAATAATTCCTCCCGGAAAAAGGAAGTCGAGTTTCTTGATGAAAAGAACGTTTCAAAAGCAACACGGCTTGAAGCATCTCTTTTCTTTCGGAGACCTACTGACATGAGAATGGTACTTGCTGCCCTGCGGCTTGCCGACTGCTTCCCTTTCCTGCCTATGCATCTTCCTGCCTGACAGCGCCCTCT